CTTCTGCCTCTGACCCTCCCCCCCTCTCATGTGCTCTCTCTCTCTCATTCTCTCTGTCTCAAATAAATAAATAAAATCTTTAAAAAAAAAAAAAAGCTTCAGGAGCAGGTCCTACCCGTCCCTCCTACAGCTTCTGCTCCCCGGCCCAGCCCCAACAGAGCCTTGAAGTAGCCACAGGAGCTAGAGAACATTCTGCCCCAAAAGTCCGCTCACATCCTCTCCTGCTGACCATCCTCCATGGCTCCCTACTGCCCCAGGACAAAGTCCCACCTTCACCACAGCCTGGACTTGGCAAGCACTGGTCCCCAAGCATTTTCCCAGCCTCTGCCAGGGCCACTGTCCCTTTTGCTCCTTTTTGCCCCAAACATTCTGGACTGGGTTTTCAGTTTTTCAAAAAGCATCAAGTACAATCCTGCCTCCAGGCCTTTGCCCATGCTGTGTGGGTTGCCTGGCCCATCCTTCCTCCCTGCCCTTCCCTGCATGATTCCTGCTCCTTCCTAGGGTCTCAGCTACAAGTCACCTCCTCTGAGAGACCTTCCTCAGTTCTCCAATCTAAATTACCCCCTACGTCAGCCCCTATCTGACTTAGCCTCTCCAAGAACCCTGAACGTCCTCACGCCCTTGCCACGGGGAACCACGAAGTGTTTGCTTGTGTGGGGTTATCTGCTTTATCTCTCCCCGTCCCGTGACAATGGTGGGGAGACACAGTGGCTGGCTTGTTTACTTTGAATCCCCAGGGCCTGGAAGGTGCCTGGCACATAGTAGGTGCTTAGTGAAACACTGAATCCACTTAACTCTCAAATGTCTATCCTGATTGCACCTCAATTTATAGCAGCGGTTCTCCGGTTTTCTGCGGCACTGAATCCTCGGAGGGGCCTGTGGACCAGTAGCAAGGCCCCGGGGCAGTAGTTTTCAGTTGCCAGTAACAACCTGCTCATGGTTGTGAGATTGATTCAGCACACTGTGACTAGCCATTTTTAATGGAATGGAATAGAAGAGCGAAGAGGGTGTTGTACGTAGTTAAGGTAACCATTGCTTGCTGATCTGTTCAGGTGTGTGTGTGTGCGCGCGCATGCGTGTGTGTCTGTGTTAGGTTGTAACATAACGTGTATTTCTTACTGTGGGGTCTTGGGCAAAAAGTTTTAAAATTCCTACAGCACAGGATCCCAACACTCCTCGGAGCCAACTCACAGGAACCCGGGGAACGCTGTACAATCCTGAGTGTGACTAGTGTCCACAAAGCAGGACAACAGATACATAAATCATGGTCTACCCATGTGGTGGAATCGGATTCAGATCTAAAAAGGAATGAAATACTGATCCGTGCTACAATGTGGATGAATCTGAAATCATGATGCTCAGTGAGAGTAATCAGATGCAAAAAGCTTCGTATTGTATGATCCCACTTATGTGAAATATCTCAAATAGGCAAATCCATAGAGACAGAAAGCAGACTGATGGCTGCCAGGAGCTGGGGAGCAGGGAGGAGCAGGGCTGCTACAGGGCTTCCTTTTGTGGTGCTGATAATGTTCTGGAACTAGATGGTGGGATGGTTGCACAACCCTGTGGATCTACTAAAAACCACTGCATTCTGCACTTTGAAAGGTTGAACCTTATGGTCAATGAGTTCTAGCTCAATAAAACTGTGACTTAGAAGAAATGACATGGAACAAGCAGGCAGAGGGAACCCACCCCCCACCTCGGTCATCTCCACTGGGCAGGAGCCTGGCCCCGGGCGCCTGCTCTCACCAGCGTCCAGAGCACCGGGAAGACACGAGGGGCTCGCACGATGAGCAGCCGACCCAGAGTCTCGGGGTAATTGTCCTCCACCACCTCAATCATCCGCAGCAGGGCCTTCACCCCCGGCCGCCACAGGTGACGCATGTTGAGACCTTCCAGGTCCACCAGGCAGGTCCAAGAGCTGCAGCAGAGACGGGCCACTCACTCCCGCTTGCTCCACCACCTCCCAGGGCCCCTGACACCCTCCGAGGGTCTCAGGAGTTGGCAGACAGGAATGGATGGAGAGGCTCAGGAAGGCAGGGCTGGGGGTAGAGGGGCAGGACACTCTCATGGATCCTACCACCCCGACCCTCAGCTGGGGAGGCCATGTGAGGAGGAGGTTCAGAGCCTGGCCTCTGAGGCTAGGCACCTGAATTCAAGTGTCACCTCCACCCCCGAGAGCTGTGTGACATGGACAACTTCTTCATCAAGACAGTGGCAGTGACAGCAAGAGTCCCCATCTCGAGCAGTTGTTAGGATTAAATGAGGTAGTATGTGTAAAGCTCTCCACAGGGACAGGCCATAGCATGCACTCGGTAAAAGCCAGTTATTGCTACCAATTGTTGAAAGGGTGCTGACTGCTAAGAGCACACACTCCAGAGCCAGATGGCCTGGATTCAAATCCCAGCTCTGCCGCCTGCTGTGTGGCCTTGGCCAAGTTCCTTAGCCTCTCTGTGCCTCCGTTTCATTGGTACTAATTCATTAGGGAAATGACTGTTTTACTGCAGCGGCTAGTTCTCAGGAGCCTCTCCATCCTGCCTTTGTTCCCTTCATCCAGTCCACACCGCTGCAAGGAGTCCCTCATGACACCCTGTCATCTGAGCCATGTTGGGTGAATTCCACTTCTGATCAGGACGCTGACTGATCGATTTCTCACCCCAACCAATGTATGTCCCCTTAGAAAAGCTCCAAACAACAAAGGAACTTAATTTTCACAAAGATCGGGCTACGTCAGGTTAAAAAGCTGCAGCAGCAGGTGCTGCCTGCCCCTCCCCCCTGGGGTGTAATAAGGACAACATGAATCAGGTACTTCAGAGAGCACCTGCTGCAGAGTGTTACACACGCATTTGCGTTATCCCTCCACGGTCGTCGTTTTTGATGATGCATAAAGAAACCCTGGGACTGGTGATATTATTCCCACATTATAGATGAGCAAGCTACGGTTCAGAAAGGTTCAGTGCCACTGTAAGTACTCGTGGGAAACTGAGTTCGGGGCGAGTCGGAGAGGGACGGAGGTTACTGGATGTGCCGTGACACCTGCGAGTCCATCTGCCTGGGGAGACAGAGTCAAGGTGGCACTTGGGGGTGGGGCAGAGCTGGCCTCACAAAGCAAGGTCCAGGGGGTGATGTGGCACAGGGGTTCACATCCTTGAGCCCGAAACAGACAGGAACAGGTTCAAATCTCAGCTCTGCCACTTACCCACTTAGCAGCAAGCTTGGATGAGCATCGCTCCTCTGAGCCTCCGTTTCCCCCTCCACAAAGAACAGGGACAATAATAGTCCCTGCCTCCCAGGATCTTTGTAAGAATTAAGAGAGGACATTTCTGTAAAGTACCTAGCATGCTTCCTGGCCAGCGTCTATGCCCAATGAACCTTGGCTGTTTTCACTATTTCAGGGGAATTTGCTCTTGGCTGGGGTTCTTGCCTGATGGGACGGCCAAACTGCTTTGTGTTCCCTTCACATCTCTTCTGTCCTTCCTCATTGACGGAAAGAACCTGGAAAGTAGAGAATGTGCTGGCAAACATTCACTTGGCTGCCCCACCCACAGGCAACCCCGGGATCCAGGGAGTGGGGACCCCAACTCACGTGCTTCAGCAGCGCCTCTTCCCCCACGGCCTTCATCAAGCCTTTGGTGTCCATGTGGCCCAGGCGCAGGATATAGAGGGGGCGGCCGTCTTTGTAGGCGAGGCAGGCCAAGCAAAGAGAAGGGACATTATTTCAGGGGTGCTGGTGAGAGGGCAGGCCCAAACTTCTCCTCAGAGAAGGCAGTGCCAGGCTGTGGCTCAGCTTACCCCTCCTGTCCATTTATTCGAGAATGCTCTGCCTGCTCCCAAGAGGGGCTGACACCAGTTATGGCAAAAGAAGCAAAGTGTCCAAGTGTCAAAGAGACAGATTTACATCACACAGGAAACTGGCTGAGGGGCATGCGGCACTCTCTGTACGACCTCAGCAACTTTTCTGAAAACCTGTCCTAAAATTAAATGTTTATTTTAAAGCTTTTTAAAAAGAAGAGATGAACCATGTTAGGAAGGAATATGGAGAGAGTGGATAATGTTGGCTCTTAGCTTTCTGTCAACCAAAGCGAATAGGAAAAATAAGGAAGAATATACGAATACAGTCGATTCTTATTATTCACGGTAGTGATGTTTTCTAAAGTGATCTTGAACAATGACTTAGGGAACAGTGAAGCATCACTTCGAGAAAAAACATGGGGTAAGGTCCCTGCGAGCCTCTAGACATAACATTTTTGTTAACTGATTGATACACAACTTTGTCCTGAATTTCTTAAATTCAGGTGCACTAGCTCAGAGGCCATGCTCATTAAGGACACTTTATTGCTAATTAAGGAGACTTTATTGGGTATATATTGTTGATACATCAACATCGAACTCACGGCCAGCAGCACCACACTCAAGCCAGGACGAAGCTTATCTAACACACATGTTTTCTCTGTGAGGCACACTGCAGCCTTCTTGTGCTCGGGAATACTAGCCAGCACTTTTGCACTTTGCCTGGGGGCCATTTTAAACAGCAAAAATCTCTCACACACACACCACACAAAAGCACAAAATTGCAAAAAGAAAAAAAAAAGTAGTACTAAGTGGACTTTAAAAAGGACTCTTGTTAACAGTATGACAGCTGAAACAAAAAGGCAGAAGGACATCTTGAGGACACGAAGATCGGACAACTGACTTTTTGCCACTCTGCCCATGGTCGTAATTGACTGCAGAAGCACCCCGAGTATTGATTTGGGGGTTACAAATAAATTTGGGTGAGTAGGCAAGTTCACAAATATGAAATCCATGAATAATGAGGATTGACTGTATATTAAAATAAAGTGCTCCAACCAGTTCTTCAGGAGAGTCAAGCACTCACCTTAATTGATATATATATGAATTTCTACATAAAGGGCATTGAAAAGCATAATGGGCACTGGAATCAAGGGCAGCTTTAAGAAACAGAGAGAAGTTATCTGTGGTGGGTTGAACAGTGTCCTCCAAAAATTCACGTGCACCCAGAACCTCTGAATGTGACCTTATTTGGAAATAGCCTGCAGATAAAATTAGTGAAGGACCTCCAGATGAAATCCTACTGGATCAGTGTGGCCCCTAAATCCAATGACCTGGGGTCTTTACAGGAAGAGGAGAGGACACAGAGAGACACCCCGAGGGAAGCCATGTGAAGACAGGCAGAGATTGGGGTGACATGACCACAAGCCAAGGAACACCTGGAGCCACCAGGAGCTGGAGGAGGCAGGGAGAGATTCTCCCCTAGAGACATTGCAGAGAGCATGGTCCCACCCACACGCTGAGTTTGGGCTTCTGCCTCCAGAACTATAAGATACATCTCTATGGCCTTAAGCCACCCAGTTGGTGGTAATTTGCTAGGGCAGCCCCCAGCCACTAATGCAAATCACGCAGCCATTATGTGTGGGGTCTCAAAGACCAAAAGCAAGGCTGAGCTAACGCTGCCGCTGCGTGAGAAACGTTGCTTCCAGCCCAAATGTCTATTCCGGCACTACTTTCCTCATGGCTGGGTGAACCCCAAGGGCATCTCCAGATGCCCAGGAGAGTCAAAAGGAAAAATCATAAGAGGCTAACATGAAAAGTGGCCTTCAAAGCGCCTTTGGCAGTGACCAAAGTGTGTGCTCTGCATTATGTAGGTAAAGGGACACACCTCTGTCCTGGTAATGCCAGCCCCCCGCATAGAATTCCTCCAGGAGGGCAGGGGCTTGCCAGGTCTGAAGGAGGAGATCCACCTGGTGCTGCTTTCTCCAGCTCAAGGACTGGCCCAGCATCTCCCGGGCCTTGTCCAGGTGGAAGTCACGAGCCCGCAGGAACCGGAGAATGTGCTCATCTTTGGGAATCTGAGAGAAGAAGGAGAAAGCCCATAGAATGGTATTCCCTAACCCAGTGGACAAAATTATGGAGAATGAGTAGCTCCTCTCTTATCTGCAAAACACTCAGCTGGGAAAAGGACCATACACTTAACCATGACGCAGTCTAGGGGTGAACTGTGGGGAAAATCTGTGAGTTTGGGCTGCCTGACGCTCCTCCCTCCTCATGTACCTCTTTTCTTTCGGGGAGCTGCTTTTCCTCCCCACTCCCCAGCACCCATCCTGGTTTTAGCTGGTGTTGCCAATCAGCACTCCACTCTCATGACCTCAGGGATGGCACAACCCAGATTTAAACCCAATTTAAATCAGAAGAATATGTCATAAACCCCTTTCTACGCAGTGGCAAAGGTGAGCCTGCAAGCCACGGGCAGCCACGGCTCCAAGCTCAACAGGGAAGTTAAGTCTGACGGGGATGAAGCAGAGGCAAACAGATACAAGAGCTCAGGGGTCCCGACCATGTGTGAGTCCTGGTTCGGGACATCCCTGTGGCAGGTTGCATGGGCCCCTGTGCGAGGCTGAATGATGTTCCTTCAAAATTCACATCCACCCATAACCTTGGAATGGGACCTTATTTGGAAATGAGTCTATACTGATATAATTAGCTAAAATGAGGTCACAGTGGAGTAGGTGGGCCCTACTCCAGGAGGGGAACTGGGACACAGACACAGGACAAACTGGGGGAAGAAGGCCATGGGATGATGATGGAGGCAGAGACTAGAGCGCCGCATCTATCAGCCAAGGACTGGCAGCAGCCACCAGAAACCAGGAGGGAGGAAGCATGGCACAGACCCTCCCCCAGAGCCTTCAGAAGGAACCAACCCTGCCCACGCCTTGATTTCAGACTTCTGGCCTCCAGAACTGTGAGAATAAGTTTCTGTTGTTTCGAGCCACTCAGTTTGTGGCATTTTCTTTCAGCAGCCCTAGAAAATGAATACACCCTGCTCAACAGGTATATGAGACAATAAATACTCCTCTCCTTATTTTCTGCCTTGACTCAAGCTGCATTCCTACCACACAGAACCCAGAGACTAAGTAATAGGCTGAGGTGACAGGGTAAGACCCCGCCAGCTCTCCTTCCTTCCCTTAGGCAAATAGCAACAGGCAAGGGAAACCCAGTCCCAATGAAAGCTCCCCTTTTCTGAGTGCTCATCCTGAGCCAGACACGACTCTAGGCACTTTATGTGCGTTGTCCCTTGTAATTCAGTGCAGATGGCATATGCCAGCATCATCCCCCTTTTATAGATGAGAAAACAGGGGCAGATAGGTTAATCACAGCCCAACATGAAAGTAACTTCCTGTCTGCCCCCCTGTCTCCCTTGTCTGCCCCCACCCCAGCGTGGGGAGGGGATAGGAAGGAAGGGCAAGCTCGAAGTTCTTATTCAACAGAGCCGAAGGTCAAGTCCATGCTTGGGACCTACATGCACAATGGACATTCATGTGATGGGGCTTAGAGTCTGGAGCCATTTTTGGTTGTCACAGCTGGGGGAGAAGAGCTCTTGGAATCTACTGGTGGAGGCCAGGATGCTAATCAGCACCTTGCAGTGCACAGGACAGCCCCACCCCATAAACAACTGTCCAGCCTCAAATGTCAACAGTGCAGAGGATGAGAAAGCCCGCGATCAATGGTACGCACAGCACACGTTATAGATACATGAGACAATACATAATAAAAAGGCAAAACAGGGGAGATGGGTGGGGGGATGGGGTAACTGGGTGACGGGCATTAAGGAGGGTGCTTGAAATAATGAGCACTGGGTGTTATATGCAAATGATGAATCACTGAATTCCACCTCTGAAATTAATAATAATAGTATATGTTAATTAAATTGAATTTAAATTAAAAAAGAAAAAAAAGAAAGCAAAATATAAGTTTCCAGGATTGCTAATTACATCAGCGTATTTACCTGGCCCTTCCTCCCCCAGTGCCTGAGGTGAGTAGCTGTCATTGAACATGCTTTCGTAGACCCCAGCTCTGCACCCACCTTGCCTTTGTGGGTCTCCTGCAGCCAGTGCCGAAGCTGGATCAGGCAGCTCTCCTGGACGGGCGTGAGATGGCCCAGGTACCTCTCAATGTAGTCTGCATCCAGCTTGTTCTCTGCAGGAGAAGATGGGGGAGTTCAGGACCAGAGGGCAATACCACTCTCTTCTCCACATGGTCTACCCTTTCTGGAACCCTTGCCTTACTGTCCGCCTCGGATCTGAAACGTCGAGTACAGTGGCCCTTTCACCGAAGAACAGCCATGTGGGCCCCACATCCTCCAGTCTTGCCAAACCATTTCCAAGGTGGTTCTGAAAACTCATGGTAGGGCCAGCCTGGATCTCACTATGGCAAGTGACGTGTCCTTTGACCCTCGGAAATCCAGATAATTCCCACCCCCTGGGGCTGTCCTGCCCTCTGAAGATATTAACAATATGTGCTCATTGTTTCTAGACAGGCATCATCTCAGTGAGCTCTCCCAACACGCCTGTGAGGCGGGCACACTACTGTTCCCACTTCATGGAAGACAAAACTGAGGCCAAGAGAGGTTAAGTAGCAAGTGAATGCATGTGGTGCACCCAGCATAAAAGAGATGGTCAGTAGATACAGTTCCTTTTGTCTTCCCACCTCCCAGTCCCCTTGTGGGTTTGAGGCTTTTCGTTGACAGAGCCCTGACCCCAAAATATAGCCAGGGAGCTGCACGGATCATCCCCAGTGTTCAGTCCCCGTCCTACACAATTGGGCTGTTTGGGGTCAGCGTGTGCAGGCATTTAGAGGCTGGGCTCCAACATGGAGGTCCTGGTGCCCACTCTTAACTGCTGGGGTGGCAGATGCGGGCATGGTGAGGCACACCAGCGTGGGAGCATCTCAGCAGTGGGGAGGCGGTCCACAAAGAGCAGCCGCCATGAACACAGCCCATTCTCTCTGTGCACAATTAGAAAACAAATGGAATGTGTGCACAACCAGTAGCAGGACGAACAAAAAAAGTCCAGGGCTGGAGGTCAGTAGGCATCTGGGTAAGCAGAAGCAGGAGAGATGCTGGTGGGGTGCAGTGGGGGAGCCTCAGAGTGGTCCGAAGTGAGATGGGAAGGGAGCGTGGAGAGGATGAGGGCGAAAGCACAGGCGGGGCAGGAGATACCAGCATCCTTCCGGCCTCTATGCAGCTGTCAAGGCCCCTTTCTCTTGAGCACAAAGGCCCAGTGATTCAGGGCAGGGTGGAAGGGGCATGACTCTGCCTCTCGCCAGCCATCCTGAGCACCTGCCTGCTGCTGGACAGCACAGACAGACAAGGAAGGAAAAGCCTGGTGCAAAATGAGTAGGGCACAGGGCATGACCACCAGATAATGTGCACAAGAAGGGGCAGAGGTTTTAACTTTTTAAAAATATTTTAAAAGTGCACGTACCACAGCGGCCAGCTAGTGCATATACAGTTGGTACAGAATAAATGTTTGTTGAATGAATGCATTTTGTTCTCCCTAAACACTGCCCCAGATATATTATTGGTTACATAGCATATCTCCAAGAAAGCCAAGCCCTACACTTCAGTGGCCCCAAAGGAAAGACTAAATCATCGTGAGCACTAATGCATACGGTTAAAACTGAATTCATGGGGTATGTGTAGTTTTGTGTCCTAGGGTTTTTTTTTTTTTAATTTAACATTAGATTGTGAACATTTCCCATGTCAACAAAAGCCTAAAATATGACAAAGGGCTAATTGCCTTCAGTACAAAGAGCTCTTACAAAGCAGTAAGAAATAAGTGGGCAAATAGGAAAATAAACAAAGTACAAGAACAGAGATTCACAAAAAAGCAATACGGAGTCACTAAGCACAAGAAAATAATATTTGGCCCCACTCATCTACCAGTGGTCAGTTTTTGCTTTCTGAAAGATTTTATTTATTTATTTATTTGAGAGAGAGATGGAATGCATGAGAGGGGGTTGGGAGGGTGGAGAGGCAGAGGGAGAGGGAGAAGCAGACTCCCCTGCTGAGCATCATGACCTGAGCCAAAGGCAGACACTTAACCGACTGAGCCACCCAGGCACCCCTCAGTTTAAAACATTTAGTAACAGTCTTGTGGGAAGCCAGGGTGAGGTCAGGAATAGACACAGTTATGCACTTTTGGGGGGAACATTGATTAGTACGACCTCTTTGTAGGCCTAATTGGTAAATCTGACAAAATTTCGCCTGCATATAACCTTTGACCCAACAATTCAACTTAAAAAATTTTATGCTACGTATATACTCATACCAATATAAAAACCACCCTAAGTAGAAAGATATACTATATTATTTATATTTTTTAACAAACGGGAAAAAATAAAATTAAAATTTAAAAACAGAAACCTAAATGTCCATCACTAGAAGTTTAGCTAAATTAACTAAAAATAATCAATAGTCAATAAATGTTTATTAATAAGTAAGTTATGGTACAACCACACCATGAAATACTGCAAAGTGCTGAGACAGAAGCAATGACACAGAAAACTGTTCAAGCAACATTAAGAAGTGAAAATAAGCAAAACATCCAGTAGAATGTATAACATGCTTTCACTGATTCACCATAAGTTATACACGTATGCATGCCTGTATATATATGTGTATGTATGCACATATTATGTGCATATATATGCCTAGATAATTTTAGGAAATATGAACACAAAACTACTATGGCCTCGAGGGAGAAGAAAGGAGTCTTACTTCCTAATTTACATCTTCCAAGAAATTTGAATTTTTTTTTTTAACATGCATTACTCATATAATTAAAAATAGTTGAGGGGAAAAAAAAAAAACACAGAGAAAAGGGCAGCCCTGAGGCACCAGATCAGGTCAATTCCTGATTTAGAAATAAATCAGTTCTGGCTCTTGGGCCAGAAGGAAGACAGGGTAAAGCAGCAGGGAAGGGAGGAAGCTGAGTCATTCCAGGCCCCAGACCCGTTCCCAAGGGGACCCGAAGCAATTCTCCCCCGCATGGAGTGAGCAAACCCTAAGCAGGCTTCTGGGGACTGGGTGGCGGTGGGGAGGGGTGGCCAAGGGCACAGAGCTGGCCAGCTGGCCTCCGCCACAGGGACCTACCGTCTGTAAGAACTGTCTCAGGAGCAGGGCCTGGGGCGCTGCCGGACCTGTCAGCCTCCAGGGAGCCAGGATCCCTCGGGCCAGCCTGAGAGCGGGCGTCCTCCTCTCGGACGGGGGCAGGCGTCCACCGGGGAATGTGAGAGGTGCCCTGGGAGATGAGCTCGTTCAGGTAATGCTCAATCACCTCCTTCCCCTGGAAGCCAGAGAGATCAGAGGCACGTGAGCACCAGGACAGGAGTGCGGGGGGTGGGGGGGTAAGGGCGTCAGCCTGGGCGTCACCCTCATCTGGCTGCAGTCCCAGCCCTGACACGTGGCTATTGAGCAGTTGAAATGTGGCCGGTCCGAATGGAGATGTGCGGTGAGTGTCAAATAGAAATGGGATTTCCAAGAGTTAGTACAGAACAAAAAATGTAAAATAGTTCATTAATAAGTTTTCTATGGATAACACGTTGGATAAAATATATCATTAAAATGAATTTCAGCTGTTTCATTACACGAACAGGCTTCTCTCCTCAGTGATGGGTCTGAGATCTTTACACAGCAACCATTTTAACCAGGACAAAGCACCACAGAAAGCTCTTCCTCTGTCCAGAGTTCACTACAGAAGCCCCAAACATCAGGGGGCTTCAGGATAATGATTATGGTGCCTCCATTACGGGCCGGATAGTTTCCACTCACTATCTTGTGTGTTATGGTCATTATTAGGATACCCATTCTATGGATGAGAAGACTGAGGCCAAGGAAGGTTAAGGATTGATCTTGCTCGATGTCACTTGGGTTGTCAGGTGGTAGAGCGGGTTTTGTGTACCTTCCTCCTTGTGACTGACACAGGAGCCCACCCCTTACCCTCTTGACGTTGGCTGTGTACTGTTTCATGGCGATCTTCTCCAGGGCATTTTCGAAGCCAAAGAAGGACCGGATGTCGAGCGAGGCACATTGCTCAAAGCAAGTCCACTCTTCATTCTCAGGGTGGACCTGAAAGCCAGGCAGGGGTGATGACAAGGTCTCAGTGTGGGGGATGCCGCGCCCACCCCCCCGCCCCAGGGGCTCTCTTGGTGATGTGGGCCCAGGCAGAGCAGACAGCAGACAGCACCTAGAGCCCCACCCAGAGAACAATGGAAAGTGTTAGAGAACAAAGAGCCTTCTCATGAGAGGATGGGAGAAAGTGGGTCTGGTGTCTGCATGCCTCTCCCTTAAAAACTGATATATAATAATATATTTAAATGAGTAATATATTTAACATACAATTATATATAAGCAAGTTAAACATAATTAGTATATATTCTAGATATATATTTTAAAGTACGTATTATGTTATATATTTATATATAATATATACATATATAAAAGCAAGGACAAACTTTGTTGACACAGCTATTACGCAGACCCAGGCTTAGTACTTCTCAAACTTCCGTGGGCAGAAACATGACCCGGGAGTCTGTTAAACGTGCAAGTTCCTAGGCCGAATGGGTCCAGGGCGGGGCCTGAAAACAAGCATTTCCCAAGCAGCCTTGGTGATGCTGATTCATCTGTTGGCTGAACTCACTCTGAGAAATACTGCACTAAAAATGATTTATAAAAAGCTGCCACCCACTCAGTTGTTAAGCGTCTGCCTTCGGCTCAGGTCATGATGCCAGGGTCCTGGGATCAAGCCCCGCATCAGGCTCCCTGCTCAGCGGGAAGCCTGCTTCTCCCTCTCTCTCTGCCCCTGCTTGTGTTCCTGCTCTCGCTATCTCTCTCTGTGAAATAAATAAATAAAATCTTTAAAAAAAAAAAAAAAAGGTAACACACCTACGGGGCTTAGTATGTGCCAGGCACTCTCCTAAGGGGTTTGGATAGTTCACTTCCTTTAATCCTCAACACAACCTATGTGATAGGTGCAATCATTAACCCCATTTTAAAACAGATGAAGAAACTGTAAATGAGGGTGCGTTTCATGGAGGAAGGAAAGGAGAGAGAGAAAAGGAAGAGGGAGGCAGGTTGCCAGGTTTTGCCAACAAAATACAGGATGCCACATTTGAATTTCAGATAAACAGTGAATAATACTTTGTTAAGTATGTCCCAAGCAATACTTGAGATTATTTAAACGAACAAAAAAGTATCAGCTGTGTATCTGAATTGCAGATGGAAGCCAGTGTCCTGCATCTTGTAAAGGCCAAGGCCCTGGGGACAGAGGAGGGGGATCTAGGCTGATGCAAGGTCTGGGGGTGCAGGCTCACGGTGTAGCTGCAGCTTTCATTGACCACCACGCGGCTGGCGAAGGTCTCGTTGCGGGCTTCGATGAGGAGGGTCCTCTCCCTCCAGTTCAACACGTTTCTCTGCACGAAGACCACGTGCTCAACACCCGCAATCTGCAAGGGAAGGACAGTGGGGGGACCTGCAGGATATGGAGATTTCGCCGAGACCCGGCGGGCCTGCCCACCAGCTGGCCCGGATCCTGTACCACGCCCTCCACCCCCACACCCGACGCCCGCCCACCAGCCGAGGCCCTAGTCCCCAGCCCATCAATCAATCCCTAGGGCTTGGTCCTTCCCAGACCAGCCCTCCACCCCAGGACGCCATACCACCATACCGGCACCTACACACACACACTCCGTCCCCCACCTGAACCCGCCCCCAGGTCCCCCACAGCCCTTCCGGGTCCCCTCCTCCGCAGCCCCCAGCCCCTGGGACCCTCCTCCCCGCCCACCTTCCGCAGCAGCCGTGGGGCCTCCACGCGCAGCCTGCAGCTCCGCTCCACCACGTGCACCGCCCCGTCGGGGCTGCGGGACTCGCGCAGGACCTCACTGCCCAGGAAGACGGGGATCTGCGGGCAGGTGGGGAAGCGCTTCTCATAGGCCTGGGGGCAGAGCGGGAGTGAGTGCCAAGGGGGCTGGTGGCCCCAGAGGGGCCCACTGCCAGCTGAGGCCTGCAGCTCAACCCTCCTCCCTCCTGCTGGGCTGTTGTCTCATTTATAGGAGCAGAAATGTGAATTCCTGGCCTAAGATAAGAGCAGTGACCACTGCTGTTTCACCAACAAGACATCATTTTAACACCTGTCTCAGAGCCGTGACACACGAGTGCATGAGCAATGATTTGGCAAATCACTCTTTGGCCCTGCGTTTGAGATTTCAACCTCAGAAGGAAGAGTGGGCTTGCCTGGGACATTTCAAAAGAAGGCATCTTTCAGGAAAAAACACTTGACATAATCCAACACCTCTTCGTGACAAAAACACTGAACAAGCGAAGAATAGGAGGGAACTTCCTCAAGCTGATAAATCACAGTCAGCATCATGCTCAATGCTAGAAGATGGAATACTTTCCCCCTGAGATCCGGAACAAGGCAACGTCTGCTCAACATTGTCCTGGAAGTTCTAGTCCTGGCAGTTAGGAAGTAAAAGAAATAAAAGGCCTCCAGATTGGAGGATGGGAGTCTGTGCCCAGTTCCGGAATTGCCAGGGAAAGAGCCACTGTGGGGTAAGCCCTCATCCATGGCTGACTGTATCCAAGTGGGGTCTGCTCCAAGCGCCTGTCACAGCCCATGTGCCAGGAAATCGGGATCAAAGCAGCTCCAAAAATAGTGTGGGCATCTGAGGACAGCGCCTCCTCCCTCATCCCTCAGGGCTCCTCCCAGCTCAGAAGGGCAGAGGGGGGTGGGGGCAAGAAGAAATGGAACGGTGCCCGGTGCCCTTGGTGTCACCCCAGGCCCCACAAGGCCAGCCCAGTGTGTCTTCCTGCCGTATGTTGAGCCTGGCTGTCTTGTACAGATGCAGCAGACACAGCAGGGCTGGAATAAGGAGCCCTTGTTCCCCAGCAGAGGGTGCATGGCGAGCAGACATTTGCCCACTGAGGACAGAGCTGCATAACAGAGTGGGCAGATCCTGTGGTGGTGGGCCAGCTGCAAGGGTGTGAGGCTCAGCTCCACCTCCTCCCAAGAGAGGCAAGTCCTTTCCTCCTCTAAGCCTCTTTCACCATCTGGAAAATGGGTACATACCAAGTTTGCCTCCCAGAGTATGAAACCAGGCTGGCTACTTATGCAGAGCCTGGCTCATTTAAAGCAACCAGAATTTTCATTCTCCAGGCAACAAGACTCAAACGACAGCAGAACACAGGTTTGCAAGAACCGCAGACAGTTCCCTACCAGCCATATCTGAGTACTCCCTTGTCACCAAATGAAGGAGGGAGCCAGAGGAGCCAGCTTCGCCTCCCCTCCACTGTAGGAAGAGGGATGCTGACATTTTTTTAAAGTATGTGGAGGAAAAGGGGTGCATGGCTCAGAATTGGACAGGCTCAGTTCATGTCTCTGCTACTTTCTCACTGAGTGGCCTCATGAGCCTCTGTTTCCTCTTCTGTAAAATGGGGTGGCATCCCCATTTGACAAATGAAAGAACTGGAACCCAGAGAGGCTAAGTAACTTACCCAAGGTCACACAGTGAAAACTGGTAAACCTGGATTTGAATCCCAGCGTGGCCCAGTCTTCATTCCCTCGGGAGGGCTTTGCTCTTCTGGGCACCTGGGAAACAGCCAGGCATCGTCCCCAGGGCCGAGTGATCACGATTTCCCCCTTCTCCACCTTTAGTACTTCAACTCCTACTTGCTCATGGCCACACTGCCCCTGCGTTTCTGCATTCCCTCTAACTGTAGAGTCTCTCCTGCTTCCCAGATGAAATGACATACTCAGAACAGGCCCAGATGCCCGGAACATGTCCCACACTCCATAACTGTGGCCCACCAGGTCCCAGGCAATCTCTGCCACCAGCCACCTTCACTCTGCTCCAGCCATGCCAGCCTTGCTGTTTCTAGAACACATTTTTATGGGTTCAGTTGTGCACCAACCACCCCCCCAACAAAATCCATGTGTCCTACCTAGTTTCTCTGAATGTGACCTTATCTGGAAATAGGTCCTTGTAAATGTAATTAGTTAAGATGAAGTCATACTGGAGTGGGGGAGGGGAGCAGATCTCTAATCCAATATGGCTGATGTCCTTATAAAAAGGGGAAATTTGGTCACAGACACTCATACAGGAAAAACATCATGTGAAGATGAAGGCACAGGTCTGGGTGATTCCTCTATAAGCCAAGGAATGCCAACGATTACCAGCAACACCAGAAGCTAGTAGAAAGGCATGGAGCAGATTCTCCCTCAAGCCCTCAAAGGAACCAATCCCGCCAACACCTTGATTTCAGACTTCAGGCCTTCGGACTGTGAGGTAAAACGCTTCTGCTGTTTAAGCCACCCAGTTTGTGATACTTTTAAATGTCAGCCCCAGGACACTAATGCACCTACCATCTGTTCCCACCACAGGGCCTTTGCATGAGCTGTTCCCTCTCCTTGGACCACTAATCACTTTACTTGACAGTGAAGGAGGAGGGAGGCCTGAGTAACTGGGGCTTCCAGAGGGTAAAGAGACCTGGATTGGGGGCTAAGGAGATGCTCTGGCTTCAGGGACTCATCCGTGCTAGTCCCTCTTCCTGGGACATCTTCCCCCACCCTCTCCCCTGCAAGGCTGCCTCCTTCCCTATTCTGTCCTTTTAGCGTATTCGTTTCCTTGATACCATTTATCACACCCTTCAGCTGATCCTAGCTTGCATGCGGCGTGCTGAAGGCCTGGGCTGCATGCTTTTTCCACAGCACTAACCTCATACGTGTCTGTCTCAGCTCTTGGCACACAGCAGAACTAATAAATGCCCACAGGCAAAGAAAAAAATAATTTAAACTTGTTGATGATCCAAAAAGCCCCCAAGAAAGGTGTCCCCAGAGGGGAATGACAGGCTGTGGAGACAGAGCATCCAACTGAGCTTCACCAGGCTGACTTCCTGTTGTAACAAAGCTCTGGGTAGAAGAGCTCCATCTGGAGCCACCAGATAACGGTGGAGGGCGGAGGGCTGGTGGGCAGCAGAGGCTGCTGGGGCACAGCTTTCCCTGACCCTGAAAGGGAAGGTGCTACCTTCCTCAAGTAGCAACGATGGAGCTAGGCCAAGCATTGGAGCGGGGAGCGGGTCAGAGCTCAGGTCCCATCTGGAAGGCAGGGGCCCCTAAATGAAAAGTCCATCCCAGGGCTATATCTCCTGCCGGAAAGTCCCCGGGGTTGTGAGGCCCAGTGTCAGACATTGTTGCTACTGATGTTTACAGGGCACTAACTGCATCATTTATTTTTAAGATGCCCCAAGATGGAAACTAGTATTTCCCCATTTTACAGATAGGCAAGTTGAGGCTTGGGAAGGCATCACACAGTCAGTAAGTGGTGGGGCTGGAGCATAGGCCCATCTGACCCAGACCCCAGCCCTGAACCACCCTGTCCTGCCTCTCAGGGGATTTTCGTTACATCACAAGTGTCAATAGTTTGGAAATACTGAGTCCTGCTGGCCTAAAACCAATGAATCAGGGGTACATTTGCCTTTGGCACATCACAGGGTCTTATAGGACCAAACAGTCCACAGGATCCTCCCCACGGGCTCCTGTCCCAACAAATCATGCCTGAGCTTCTCTGTGCTGAACAAGCACATGGTTGCCTCCCCGCCCCTCCCCAGGAACACAAGGTAGCAGAAGGATTCAGTTACAGCCCTTCTGCCAGGTGGCTAGAGAGGGACACCCAAGCCTCCTCACTCAGAAAGGAAGCTGGTCCAAGGCCCAGAACCCGCCCATGCAGGGCCGCAGCTGGGGTAGGCAGAGACTAGTGGAAACTTCCGTTGACTGCCTCCCATGCGCCTCCGTCCTGTAAAAATCCACAGTGACACACTTAGCATGTGGAGATGGGCAGCTGGACTCCTAGCCAGACCTGCCTACCTCCAGCTGGGCAGCCTCAAACACAGGCACGTCCCCTTGTCTCCCTTCAGGCTCATCTGTAAAGTAATTCACTCCCAGTGAGCACCTGGTTGTACCGTTTCCTTCATTTGTGCGTCACACTTGCTGACAAGAAGTCATCGGCCCGTGGCAGGGAGCTTTTCCTCCTCCCACCAAATCCCCGGGGCTTGTCAAAATGACACAGTCAACACTCAGTAGGCATTTACATGATGAATGAGTGAATGACAGCATCCCATACCCATTAAGGGCATGGACTCTGGGTCCAAATCTCTGCTCTGTTTCTTACCAACTGTGTGGCCTTGAACGAGTCATCAGGCTCTCAGTTCCTTAATGTGCTCATTTGTTAGAAGGAGAATAAGAGAAGTAGCTACCTTGCTGAGTGGTGGGATGTGTGGGGGGGAATAAAGGAGTCCGTTTTTGTAAAGTGCTGAGAACAGTGCCTAGCACATGGTTCGTTCTACATAAGCATTTGTTAAATAAATTTAAATTTTAAAAAAGAGTGAGATTCTATAAAGTACAGAAAAGCTATTTCTGCTAATCACTTGACAGCTGCTCCCTCCTCCCCCACCCCTCCTTCCTTCCTGCTCTTCCTCATGCAAATTCAAAAAAAGCTGGAAGCTGCTTACCCCAAACCTTCCACCAAGAGTGTGGAAAGAAGATCCAAACTGCACTAACGTACTCTGGCGCAGTACTTTGCCTTCCCTTTCCATGCTGCAGGCTGGATTCGGGGCACTGAGCACTGTATGACCTCACACGAGGCACACACCTCCAGTCACACTCCTCAGGAGCCTTTCTTGATGACCCCCACCCGCCCCCTGCAAGCGTGGGAGACCCCAGGATTGACGAGTATAAATCCTCTCAGCTCCCCCAACTTTTTTAAAAAGTGAGATAGAATTCTCATACCATAAAATGCACCCTTTTTTAAAACATTTTATTTTTTTACTTGAGAGAGAGCAAGAGAGAGAGAGCACAGCAGGGGGAGCGGCAGAGGGAGAAGCAGGCTTCCCTGCTAAGCTGGGAGCCCCGAGGCAAGAGTAAATCCCAGGACCCTGAGA